AGCCTGATGTAAGCAAGAAGAGAATCAGGCCCTCGGTCTCAAGCACTGAATTTCTGTAATGTATCATTTTATTTTTCTTTCTCTTTCTTAAGATGACCTTGAATGATGCCATGAGGAGCAAGGCAAGGCTGTCAATTACAGGAAGTACTGGAGAAAATGGACGTGTTATGACTCCAGCATTTCCAAAAGCAGTGCATGCAGTACCTTACGTGAGTCCTGGCATGGGAATGAATGTCAGTGTGACTGATCTCTCGTGATTGATAAGAACCTTTTGAGTGCCTTACACAATGGTTTTCTTGTGCGTTTATTGTCAAAGTGGTGAGAGGCATCCAGTATCTTGAAGACTTTTATTTCAGCCAAGAATTCTTATATTTGTGGAGTTCATCTTGGATTGTAATGAATGCTTAGTTCAAAACACAACACCATTTTCTACACAAGTTCAAGATGAAGCTTGACTGACATGCACAGCTAACATGGAAGTACTGTAATCTAACTGAAGTCGTTGTACAGGCAACACCAGTTTCTGCAGCCACCTTTGTTAGTCCCTTGGTTCATATTGACTTAAGCACACTTGACATCAATTGCATCAAGATGTGACATGTTTTATAAGAAAAAAAAAACATTTAAAATGAAAAAAAAATATTTTTAGGTATTTTCACAAACAAAAACTGGCTTTTAAATAAATTTGCTTCCATAATGATTGAATATGACAAAAGGGGGGGTGGGGGGGAAGAAAAAAAAAAAAAGAAAAAAAAGAAATGTAGACTGCGGGGAAGTGGAATATGAAAATAAGGCTTAAGGCATCAGTTCCATATTTTTCAAAGCCAAATATGTAATGTTGAGAAGAAAAGAAGTAATAGTTAAAAGGTTCAAATCTTGTAATTTAATATTGTTATTAAAACTTTGCTGTATATCCTATTCTTTAACATTTGGTGTTAATATAAAATTACTTGGCAATGCTTGACATTTGAAATAAACTTTTTTCTATGGTTTTATTTGCAAGTGTTCCATTAATTTTACTAGCTACAGTTGGATTTTAAAGAGTCTGAAACCTAAAAGGACACTGTCAAGGTTGGGTCAGTGTTTTAGTTTTTGGCAGTGTCGCCACCCCTAGCTCTCTTGAATCTATTCAACAGGTTTTTTTCTTCACACAAATCCAAGCTGTGTTGCTCAGATAGGCATTTTGAACTCTGAAGATCAAGGCTGTTCTGGGTAGGAGTGGTACTTCATACCAGCACATGAGGAGTCAGATGAGTGCTGATTTAGAGCTCCTCTTAACTCTGACGTGCAGGGACTTAACGATCCAAAGATTTGGTTCCTATCTATCTCTACTTTTGTACAATTGCTTTCATAGACACATGTACAGAGAGAGAAGAATACCGGTAAAAATTGATAAATGGCAAGCAGTAAAATAGTGTTAAATATTTTATAAAGTACGAAACAAATGCAGATCTCAAATTGTTCCTTTAAGGAAGCTGTTTTAAAACTGTTAAAAGGTAATTCTAAACAGTAGTTAGTGAAGTTCTTCGTTATGAAAAAAACCCAAAACCTTGGCAATGTCTTTTTAAATTAAGATCAATAATAACACAAATTAGATGCAACTCTGTACTGATGAAAATATAAAACTTTCCTGAATCTTAATCATTATGAATATTCTTTGCAGTCTGAAGTTACCATGCGTTTTAATTATGTGTATTTAAAAATGATAACTCTACTTACAAAGCAAAAAGGAATCCTAGGAAGGGTGCAATAATGTTAATTTAAATGCTAATTCAAATCAAAGCAACATCATGTTTCTCTAGCTTTCCCTGTAGATAAAATTCCATACATTTGGTTGAAAAGCTTACTTTTTCTGCACTGTGGATACATCGCCTCATGCAGTATCAGTAAATCTCTATTTTATTTTGGACTTAAATAAAATTTGAAACATGACTTGCAGTTTTAGTTGGAATCCATTTCTTAAGCTTAAGCAAAATATTTACTGAACACTGGAGAAGAGAGAGCATTTATCAGAAACTTGAAATCCCTTCTTGTGGTACAAGCTCTGAGCCTGTTTCTGCAAGCATGTAAACACAGTGTATACTCTCAGTGTGGTCAGTGAAAGAGGTATATACAGTGTTTTCAATTTCAAATTTACCAGGAACTTCCCCCTAATCAAACAAAAGCATTTCTTGATGCATCTGTAATCCATAGGTGTTCTGTGCATTACTTCTAATCAGGAATGTTGGGGGGTGAATTCTGATTTTTAATGTTCAATGCTAGAATGACCAAACTAAAATAATATTCATATGGTAATCTGAACTTTTTGAAAAAGTAAAATTGCATTACTGTATACAGTGGAAAGCTATTTATTGTACCTCTGGGCTTATTCCTCTAAAAATTGTAGTGTAAAAAATCTTTGTCAAGCCTGAACTGATGTATATAACTGAAATAATGTAAAGTTATATTTTCATGTTTTTATACTTAACAACATGATGGGAATACATAATGTATGAGTATTTCAATTACAGATAATATTGATTGGATAATACACATCTCAGTTAAAAAGCAGTAACCATAGTTTAATATCCATGTTATGGTACATCAGTATATTGCTATATAAAGTATGTCTGTGTGCGTTTAAGTGAAAAGTAGTCAAGAGTGATGAAAGCTGTCCCAAGGGTTTTTTATTCATTTTATATGAAAACTGTTATGGAGCAACCAAAATGTTTATGAACTAAAACTTGTGTAAATTTCAAAATGTCCTTTACTGTAGCTTTTTGTTTACAGTATCTTATTTTCTGCTTTGTTAAATGAGTAACAGTACAAAGCTGGACATACACTTTCTAAGACATTAACGTTTCTGTTTTTTCATGTATACCTATATGACAGAAAATGCTTCTGATTTTATTTTTCAATCTAACACATGATGGCTTTTCTGGAGTGTTGTATAAACTTCAATCATACATAAAAAAATCTTCTTAAAAAAGGCAAAAGACCTTTAATGTCTGTTTAGTATTATTGAAATCTGGTTTCTTTATTTATTATAAATGTATTTTCCTAAGATTTTACATAGAGCAAACCTTTTTGTCCCCACAGACATGAAATTTCCTGAAGAGTTTTGCAAGGACAATATAAATCGTCCCCCAAATCATCTTGTCACTGAAGGGTAGATTTACTGTGGTTCATGTTATCGCTAAACAAAGTAATGTAACTTTCTTGCTAATAAGATAATTGTGTTTCTGGAATGTAACCTTCTTGATCATGGTTATAATGGCAGTGTGATAGGATGATAATGCTAGAAGGTTAAGTGTCTACTCAGTAGCTCTACTTAAAAATTGCCAGCTTGAATCAGTAATTTTTTACTTCAACAGATTGTTGACTTGTCCAAAGCAGAGAAAGAACCTGAGAAATGGCAAGTATTTTGGATATACATGAGTAACGTTGCTACTAGAGATCTAATACAACAAAGAGTTTGCTATAATAGCAGACAAATTTAGTTTGAGGACATTTGCAGTGTGAAAATTTCAACATTTTTATTTAAATGTTTTACACATTTTAACAGAGTGTGTCTCAGGTTGTCAGCCTCTTCTTTGGCTGATAGATGTGGACAATATCTTTGCGCAAAGTACAGTGCACAAATTGTATTTTAAAATACAAATATGTTATTTCAGTTATCATTTGGTACAGTTAGTTATATGAATAGTGATCACCAGCAAAATAAAATTGGTAGCAGCTCTTCTGTGTGATATCCCTAGAGGCTACTCAGACCTGTTTCACAGTACTAAATTATTGTTTATTAAATCTTTTAATTTATCCTGTCATGGGATCACAAAAAAATTGCTATGAGAAACCTATCAGGTCTGAATTATCTTAGGAATTCTTATTATATCAAGTGTTTGGAAAAAAATACAGCAAATTGCGTAGCTGTGGACTTATCTTTGAACATTTTCCCTAGCATCAGTTGTTGTAGGTAATAGACAATGCTGTATACCCCTGTAAGATATAATAGTTTGGGAATTGTCTACAGTAATGGCACCTGTGTGACAATTTCATTCAGACTGTGCCTGCTGTCGATCTTCCTGAAATTTCTGGTCATACTGCGCCTATTACTCTAAACTAAAGGTACAATTGCTGTAAAATTGTTCTTTTTCCTGTCTTGAATGCTCTCTTTCCTCTCTCCCTGAAGAAGTGTGATAAGCATGTCTACATCTAATATCTGGGGACCTATGGGAACCTGAAGTGATAACAGCTTCATAACATAGAGTCTCAGTTAATTCCTACTTGCATTTAGTAGGTGTCAACTCCTTGTACCCTGAAGTAACTGTAATATTCATAATGCATCTTTTTTTTTTTTTTTTAGAGATTTCTGTAAAGTAGTGAATAGCATTTTGATGATTAGTTAAAGTTGTTTAGAATTTGTCAAATTTATATTCTTTGGGAAAAAAAATCTTTTGGATTTTTGTAAACAAGTGGCAAAAAAATTGAACATAGTAAGATACAACACAAGAATTCTGAGAATTACAGATCTAACTCTCATACAGCTTTTTCATGTCACGAGACCTTCCCATAGTCCTGAAACTTATCGTTAGGGCATATTACATGCTGTACTTTCTTTCTTTCCCTCTTACCCCACCACATACAGTTAATTCTAATACATGCTTTTTAGCTTGGTAGGCAAATAGGAAATGGAATTACTGTATGTAATACCATATTTTTTTTTTAATTATTTTTTCAGTCATTCAATATATTATAGCTCATTGCATGCATCTCTATTAAAGAAGCAGTGATGGTAAAGGTGGGGAAGAGGTCATCTGAGGTCATCTAAGCTAACCTGTTAATTCAAGTGGCATCATCCACTGCACTGTTCTTTTATTGGTCTCCTTTGTACATATTTTATTGCTAATGAAAATGAAAATTTGGCTTCCTCTGTAGACATCTCAGTACTTTACTTACCTCAGTGGTAAGAAAATTCTTTATAGCTAAAAGAAAAGCATGATCTCACTTAATTCCAACGAATGATTTTGTAGCATTCATCCAAAGTTCTCACAATAGACTTACAACTGTCACTCAACAGGAAAGCTGAAGACTGTAATTTAAATTATATGTTGAAATTAAAACAGGTTTTATTTTTTTCTTTAAAAATCCCAAACCTGATTTTGAAAATGTATCTTACAGAATAGAAAAAGGGCTGCTAAACGTTAGTGCCTCGACCAGCCCCTTGAAATTGTCTTCAATTAGTTCATACCTGGAGGTGGGGGAAATGCTGCAAAAAAGGGGGTAGCAATGGATCCCATGAGCTATGCAGGACCACGCTGCTTCCTTGGTGTCTTTCCATGCACAGAAGGGAAAGCAGGTGGGCAAAGCTGAAAGAGGAGTTGGAGAGGCAGTTTCATGTCATTCTTCTGTCCTTCCTCAATCCTAAAGGGTGGAGGAGCCTTCAAAAGAGACACCAGAGAGGATTTATCCATATTTTTCTAAGGATAGAAAATATACTCACAATTATTTTTTTTCCCTTTTAAAAACCCACTGTTAGTGCAGTTTTGAAATTATAATTATCTGTTTTAGTTTATGGTAATCAATTCTTAAAATCGGTTAATAAAATCTGTTTCCAGAGCAATCTACTGTTGAGAACGCATATGTGTACTAGTGTCTTAGAAGGGGACAGCCCAGAGTCCTTCTGGCATATGCTTTACTGAATCATCAAGACCATCTTGTTAATACTTGGAGGCTTTT